TTTTTTTATCGGCTATCGAAACAGGTGAATTTTTAGCCATTAAAAAATTAAAAATAATGGAAACTATTACCTTTTGGGGGTGGGGTAAGGGGAAATGTTTTCAGTTTGAGAAGGCCCGATTACGCGGAATAAGCTTTGGGTAAAAAATCTATAAACAAAATTCAAAACGGATCTGTCCACTAAAATTAATTGGGCTTAGTTAGGCCTCGTTGGCGGTACAGGCTGTGGACTGTGCGTCTGTGCCCTAATAACTGATTCAAAAAGTTTAACAAATAAGAATTATATTTTACAATATGATGTGATTTTACAATTTGAAGAGTTTCAGATTAAAAAATAGAAATTATTAAATTGGGAGGCCCATCCTTATCAAATATTTTATTATAATTATAATATCATATAAATTATAAATTTACAATTATAATGTGATATTAAATAATTATGATATGATATTAAATGAATAGATATATATTATGAGTGAATTTTTAAATTAAAAAATAAATTATGTAACAATATATCATGTTTTATAATTGCAAGAATATGTGATATTATAACTATAGTATTTTTATATTTGTTAACAAATTTAAAAGAAGAAACAACTTGAACATTAGATTTTTGAATTTAGCAAATTCTCAAAAATTAGACTCGGTAATTTTACATATCGTTTACAACAATTTTGAAAAACTCTATTTGGGTATATAGCACTTCTATAAAATCTTCAGTTGACCAAACTCACCCTTATTTTTCTCTATCTAGTGTACGTAATTTTCATTGAAAACCCATCATGGGGTGTCTTGAATTTGCAACTAACATAGGTCAAGGATCACTTTACCTTTAAAGGCATTATCCCATGTCTAGTACCTCATCATTCTTTCATCTAATTCTTTTAACCTTTCAAAAGAAAATTCTAATTATCCATCACATGGGTAATAGCCCTACAGCAGTCAATCATTTAGGTGGTTAGTTAAGACACAACAAACCATCAGATTGATAGCTTCTTTCTCTAACGTAACAAAGCTCTACCTCCTCAGAAGAAATAATTGGCACAAGTTTTTGCTACCAGTGCATATGAGTCAATTGACCCTTCAATAGGATTGAAACATTTGTGTGTTCGGACAAGGCTATGTTAGACTTAATTTTCATCTATGCAATTTCCTATTTGCACCCAAAGAAAAAAATGACCCTTCTATTTTCTTTTTCTTCCTTTATTAAACCTCTCCAAGCAACAAAAAAAAAAAAACAAAGGGAGAGAGTGAGAGAGAGAGAACAATAAATATTTCCAAAGTATCCAAGAGAAGCACGTAGGTCCTGCAGCATATGTTAAGTAGCTACTCCTCCACAAAATCTCATAATTTGGTTCCTCTTTCAAGGAAAATTTATTAACTTCTGTGCAAAATGTACAGGTCCAGTAGGTAGATTTGTCAGGATGCCATTATTAGCTTGCTAATTGTTCTTCTATTTTTGCTTTCTAGCCGTTCCTTTCAATACGCGGGATGTGAGACACC